TTTGATGTGGTTATGAGTGTATCTGCAGAAAATATATAAGACAATTATGTTATAAAGKGAAGAAGGTAAAGGGAGGTAAGTTCTTTACACTTTACTTGAGCTGGTAAAATGATGACACTAGCATATTCCAAGTTATTTATAAATAATATCTTGAGCAACCACCAAAAAAGCTATAGAGCGATACACTAATAAACAAAGTAGATGCATCAAGATGGAATTGTGAAGAAATGTCCCAGTAATTTACAGGAATTTAGGGAAAAGAACAGTAGTTCTGTGGCAGAGCTTTCACTTGTCATGTATAAGTTCCTGGTTTTAATATCCAGCACCACCACCACAACAAGCAAACAAACAAACAAACAAAAAGAAACAAAAGGAAAATGAGAAAGAACAACAGAAAACAAACAAACAAAAATAACACATTAAGGCTCTAACATATCAACAAGTACATTAAATGTAAATGGCTTAAATACATCAATTATAACAAAGATATGGGGAGAGTGGGTTTAAGAAATCACAACTCAATTATATATTGTCTACAAAAATTCTATGCAGATTGAAAATTAAAATGAAAAAATATTATGTTAACATTAATAAAAGTAAAGCAGGAGTGACTATAATTAAGTCAGATAAAGTAACATCAGAGACAGAGTGGAATATTGTAGGAGAAAGAAGAAACATAGTAATCCTAAATGTGTRCATACCAAACAACAGAGCTGCAAAACATGCAAAAAGACTGATAGACTGAAAGAGAAATAGATGAATTTTCAAGTTGGAGGCTTCAAGGATCCTCTCAACAATTGATAGAAGAACTAAAGAGAAAAATCAGCAGAGTTACAGAGAATTCAACAATATCATGAACTATTGGCATCTCAGCAGTATTTACAGAACAACTCACCTAACAACTCCATACACATTGTTAAACACTCACAGAACATACACAATGTAGACCACATCCTGGCCCATTTCAAACAAACCTCAACCACTTTAAAAATGAAATTAGACAGAGTGGGTTCTCTAACCATAATGGAATCAAATTAAAAATAAAATAAAAGGAAAATCTTCAAACACTTGAAAACTTAACAAGGCACTTGTAAATAATCTAAGAATCAAAGAGGATGTCTCAAGTGAAATTTAAAGAATGGAGTCCTAAGTAGAAAAAGATATATTCCATGAGTGTATAATTACATCAAATGAATTCTATTGCATAACTAAAAGAACCAATGAACAACAAAATAAAATACCTGTAGTAATTTTTAAATAAATAAAAATACATTGTGTTAGCCAAGCAAAGTGATACATGCCTATAATTCCAGCAACTCAGGAGTCTGAGGCAGGAGGATTGCAAGTTTGAGGCCAGTCTCAGCAATTTAGTGAGACCCATCTCCAAATAAAAGGGCTGGAGATATGGCTCAATAGTAGAGTGCCCCTGGGTTTAATTCCCAGTACAATAACAACAAATGTTGAAAGGAATGGAAAACAAAAGTACAACATATCAGTATTTGGGAGAGATAATTTACAGCACACTAAGTAAATATGTTAAAAAAGATAGAAAGTCTAAATCAATTACTCAACACTTTGGTAGTTACAACTTCCATCTTATGACTCTAGAAAGAAGATGAGAAAAATAAAATGAAGGCACGCCAAAGGAAGAAAATTATGATGATGATAGAAGCCAAGGAAATTAAAAGCAAAAATAATAGAGAAATATATTAAACCAAGAACTAGTTCTTTAAAAAAATCAATAAAACTGACAAACCTCTAGCAACAATGATCAAAATTTTTCTTACTCCACCACATCAGATTTCAAATATAATTTAGCATCAAATTTTTTTATGTTTTCTAATTTTCCTTCAGTGTACCTCCTATTATTTAGATATTTCTTACATGATTGTTTACATATCATCTTTTTCCTATCCCTGAATTATTGTGCTTTTCTTTTCATATAACGAAATTACAGAGAATTGTGAGAAGTCCATTTCATCCTTGAAGGGTAGTCTTTACCTTTCAATTTGGCAAACTTGAAGAATTTCTGAAAGATATAATGGAATTATAGGAAAAAAATATTTGAAACACAAAAGGAAATCAACTTGATAAGGTATGCAATGATATAAGTTAACTAAATGAAATTAAATATAGTGTACTTTGCAAGTTTTCATAAAAGAACTTTTTCAGGACATTGGTAATAATCCAGCTAAATTAACCTTTAGGACATCTTTAATTTCAGTTCCGCACACATGAGCATAAAGAGCATAGGGCATTGTGATTTTTTTTACATTGTCTACCATTCCATGTCATTTAAAGCAAAGATTGAGATCTTGCACTTCAGATATTAAAAGAAGTTGGAGAATATGATTAAAATTATTCACAATGAAAGCATAAATGTTCTATATCTTGAAAAAGGTGTGTATTACATGGATCAATTCATTTGTTACAATGGTACCATTAAGTTTGGTACCTTTCAATTTATGTAAACATTACCTCCAGAAAAGGACAATACAAAAAGTAAATGTGTAGTGGAGGTAGAAACTGAAGAGAAAGTTACAGATAAGACAAGACAATGTTGTGAAACTGAATGATGTGTTTGTTTTGTATATGTTGGAAATTTTCCATAATAAAAATATCTTAAATAATTCCTTGTGAGAACATGTTTATGAAAACCAAGTCAATTCAAAGTCACTCAAGCAAATCAAATTAAAGCAAAAAGGATAAAATCAGAGACGCATTCTCCTGCAGATATCTAATGTAATCAATTCACTTTCTGTAAAAAGGCAAGTTCTTGACATACCCAACTGATATCTTTTGGGAGGATGTTCAGATACTTTCTTCTTTCTCTCTGCCATGATTATCATTGTCCTCAAAGATATTTCGCTGATATAAATTGAACACATACTGTACTACTGATGAAGGTTGCTTTTAAATGAGAAATAATTCAACAAGCAGTATTGAGGACACCTGATGTGCTGCAATCATACAGAGTGAGTACAGGACTTTGGAAGACAAGATTGCTGGAATCAGAACTTCAGTCCCCACTCAGAAGGATGCATTTAGAAGTGAGCCATAAATTTCCTTGTTTCAGAAAATAAACTAAATCCATCTGATCATCATGATTGTTGGTTTTGTCTCATCAATTCCTTTTTCTTGTTCATATCCTCAAGGGATAGTCCATTCTCAGTAATATTTAGTGAGTGAGTCCTGGAGGCGAGTCACATTGATATTCTATATCCTTATGGCTTTATATATCTGATTTACCCATAAAATGACCGMAGCTTTTCAGACTATTTTATTTAGTTTTATTTGTTTTACCTGGCATTGAAGTATTTGGAAAATATCTTCACTTTTAGTTTTGCATCATCTTGGCTCTTCTGTGAAGTAAATTTTTCTTGACCTTAGTGGATTTCACCTCTAAGTAAATATGAAATCCACCATAAATAAATTATGCTTGGCATAGTTCATGTTCTTATATTTTCACTTTATCCATGCTTTCAGGATATTTAGAAAAATGTTGCCAGTTGTGGTGGTGCATGCCTATACTCCCAGCAGCTAGGGTGATTGAGGCAAGAGGATCACAAGTTCAAGGCCAGTCCCAACCACTTAGTGAGATCCTAAGCAACCCTGTCTGGGGATGTGGCGCAGAGGTTAACTCCTGGGTTCAATCCCCAGTACCAGAGAGAGGACAGAAGAGAGAAGAAAGAAAAAGGGAGGGGAGAGAGGAATGAGGAGAGAAGAAAGGAGATGGAATAATTTTCAATTTATCTGAGGAGAAACTGGTGGGATAAAGTGAGCACGGTCACAATGTTCTGTCCTTGAATTCCATGGTTTTCACTCAAATGTTAAGACACCTTTTCACATCAACTTATTTGACCTATATTTATAGGACCTGGATAAGAAAATATGACAAAGGTAGTTCTTGAATGTCTTCTTTTGCATTGTGATATATTCATAGGAAAAGGACATTTTTTATCATCRTAACCAATATGAGGAGAATTTGAGAAAATGTTATATCAAAATACACAAGACTCTTCAAACTATGACCAATTCTATTAATACAACATGAAGATTAACACTAAGAAGCTTCTGACAAATATAATTGATTGTTCCTAATTCCTTTTCTGAAACATTTAACTTACTTTGATGCTTCTGTCCTAAGTAACTCTTGGTTTCAACTTTTCTTCTAACAGCCTAATTGTTTTCTTTACTGTGCACACATCACCACATTACAAAGTAGGTAGGTTGTTCATGCCATTTGAGTCATATAATTTAGAAAATTCATTGTCTGTYTTACAATTAGTGTGTTAAACATCTTTTACAATTTGGATAGTTTGTTGATGAGTTTGTTGGGACAGCTAAATAATGTACTTTGTGGACTGGGCATGTGGTTCAGTGTTATAGGCCTTGTCCAGCATGCACAAAGCCCTAGGCTCAATCCTCAACATTGACAAAAATAAAATTGTTTTTACCCTGCTTATCAAAGATAAATTATACTTCTAAAGAATCAAAGTTGATTATAGGAGTTTATTACCTAAGAGAGTGATTCTTAAACATTAATATGCATCAGAATCACTTAATGAGAATCACATAGGGGAAAAGATTGAAGTGTAGATTTCCCTTAGCACCAGTTTGATTGAAATATCTGGAGGGAGCCAAGGAATTGACTTTAAAAACAAAAATTTTAAAACACGCACACAAACAAGCCTTCCAAACAACTCCTTATGCCTGTGCTTCACACACTCCATTTGAGTAACACTGATTCAAACTAAGCTCAGATTTCAGAAGCATTGTTAACTTGAAAATACCTCATGAAGTTAATAACTTGACCGCGTGGTGGCGGTGCAGGCTAAGAGAATGAATACAAGCTCTGAAGATTTGGTGGACTCCCACTTCACCCAGAAACCAAAGAAAGAGAAAATACAGAACACATTTACAGCTAGAGCTAAGATAGATGTAATCGGTAAGGGAGTCGTAGCTGGATAAGCTATAAGGAGGAATTAAAAATCTATATACAACAAAGACATTTCAAAGGGTCTGTGGTCGATCTGGAACTGGGAGCTGAAAAGGATTTACCCTCCGGAATTGGAATCAGACATAACAATGGAGATGGTGAAAACAAAAATACAGCACAAGAAAAGGCAAGTGGCTACCTTTATTATACTGATGCTTTTGTGGGAGGTGGGTTCAGAATCGGTTCAGTATTCCATAATGGAGGAGACAGAAAGTGGCACGTTTGTGGCTAACTTGACAAAGGACCTGGGACTTAAGGTGGGAGAGCTGGCAGATCGGAGCGCCCGTGTTGTTTTCAAAGGAAGCAGGCAACATTTGCAGCTTGACCCACAGACCCATGATTTGCTGCTAAATGAAAAACTGGACCGGGAGGAACTCTGTGGCTCCACTGAGCCCTGTGTGCTACCTTTTCAGGTGTTACTGGAAAACCCCTTGCAGTTTTTTCAGGCTACCTTGCGAGTCAGAGATATAAATGACCATGCTCCAGAGTTTCCAGCCAGAAAAATGCTCCTGAAAATATCAGAAATTACTATGCCAGGAAAGATATTTCCTTTGAAAATGGCGCAGGATTTAGACGTTGGCAGCAACAGCCTTCAAAGCTACACCATCAGCTCCAACCCTCACTTCCACGTTCTTACCAGCAATCGCAGCGACGGCAGGAAATTCCCAGAGCTAGTGCTTGACAAAGCATTGGATCGCGAGGAGCAGTCCCAATTCAGACTAACCCTGACTGCCCTGGATGGTGGGTCTCCGCCCCTATCGGGAACTTCAGAGATTCAAATCATGGTTTTGGACATCAATGACAATGTCCCTGAGTTTACTCAGGAGCTCTATGAGGCGCACATCTCTGAGAACAAACACCCTGGCTCCCTGGTAATTACCGTCTCAGCCAGAGATTTAGATGCGGGATCATTTGGGGAGGTATCTTACGCCTTATTTCAAGACGATGACATTAACCAACCCTTTGAAATAAATGCAATAAATGGAGAGATTCGACTGAGAAAAACTTTGGATTTTGAAGAATTTCAGTCTTATCATGTGGATATTGAGGCCACAGATGGTGGGGGCCTAACCGGAAAATGCTCTTTAATCGTTCAGGTCCTGGACGTGAATGACAATGCTCCTGAATTGACTGTGTCCTCACTTAAYAGCCCTATAGCTGAAAACTTGCCAGGAATAATAGTGGCAGTTCTCAGTGTTTCTGATGCAGATTCTGGACCTAACCAAGAAGTTATTTGTTCCATAGACGACAATCTCCCCTTTCTTCTAAGACCTTCAGTGGAAAATTTCTATGCTCTGGTAACAGATGGACCTCTGGACAGAGAGACCAGAGCCGAGTACAACATCACCATTACGGTCACCGACTTGGGGACACCCAGGTTGAAAACCGAGCACAGCATAACCATCCACGTCTCTGACGTCAACGACAACGCCCCTGCCTTCACGCAAACATCCTACACACTGTTGGTGCGCGAGAACAACAGCCCCGCCCTGCACATAGGCAGTGTCAGCGCCACAGACAGAGACTCAGGCACCAATGCCCAGATCACCTACTCGCTGCTGCCAACCCAGRACCCGCACCTGCCCCTYGCCTCGCTGGTYTCCATMAACGCAGACAATGGGCAGCTGTTCGCGCTGAGGGCGCTGGACTTCGAGGCCCTGCAGGCATTCGAGTTCCGCGTGGGCGCCACAGACCAAGGCTCTCCCGTGCTCAGCAGCCAGGCGCTGGTGCGAGTGGTGGTGCTGGACGACAATGACAACTCGCCCTTCGTGCTGTATCCAATGCAGAACGCCTCTGCGCCCTGCACGGAACTGGTGCCCAGGGCGGCAGAGCAGGGCTACCTGGTCACCAAGGTGGTGGCAGTGGACAGAGACTCGGGCCAGAACGCCTGGCTGTCATACCAGCTGCTCAAGGCCACGGAGCCAGGGCTGTTTGGCTTGTGGGCGCACAATGGCGAGGTGCGCACCGCCAGGCTGCTGAGCGAGCGCGATGCGGCCAGGCACAGGCTGGTGGTGCTGGTCAAGGACAATGGCGAGCCTCCGCTGTCTGCCAGCGTCACGCTGCACGTGCTGCTGGTGGATGGCTTCTCCCAGCCCTACCTGCCGCTCCCGGAAGTGGCGCCYGAGCRCGCGCARGGGGACTCGMTCACTGTCTACTTGGTCATYGCCTTGGCSTCKGTGTCATCKCTCTTCCTCTTCTCTGTGCTGGTGTTCGTGGCGGTGAGGCTGTGCAGGAGGCGCAGGGCGGCGCCGCTGGGTGTCTGCTCTGTGCCTGAGGGCCACTTTCCTGGCCACCTGGTGGACTTTAGTGGCACTGGGACCCTGTCCCAGAGCTACCAGTATGAGGTGTGTCTGGCTGGAGACTCTGGGTCTGGTGAGTTCAAATTCTTGAAGCCTATTATCCCCAACTTACCCCCTTAGGGAACTGGAGGGAAATTGAGGAAAGTCCCACCCTTCAGAATAGCCTCCTATTCCGTGAAATATTGTATTACTATACTAAACCCTACTTAATTAAGTTTAGAAATGTTCTCTTTTTTTGTAGTTGTAGATAGACATAATGCTTTTATTTTATTATTTGTTTATTTTTATGTGGTGCTGAGGATGGAACCCAGTGCCTCACCAATGCTAGGCAAGTGCTCTGCCAGTGGGGTACAGCAGCAGCTCCTGGAAMTGTTCTTTAACTTAAATTCATGTTATTGATTCATGTTTTGATTCTCCCATTCTTTTATTACTATTCATTATGCTGAAATTTTAGAAGAAAAGTCAGATACCAGAGATGTACCATATTTTATCCATTATCCATGTGCTTCATCTTTTTTATTACTCTCACCTACTTTTTAATTAATTAATTTTAATTGGGTATATATGACATCAGAATGCATTTTGATTGTACACAATTGCAACACAACTTTTCATTTATCTGGTTGTACATGATGTAGCAACTCTCATCTACTTTTGACAACTGAAATAAAACGTAATTTTTTAGTAATTAAGACATTTAAAATTACCTATCCTTTCAAAAAACTGTATTCCAAAATCCTTACAATCCTATTTCTAAGAATTGGTTACAGTCATTTCTCTACTACTTTGGAGAACTATTTTCAAATTGTATCTGAAAGTATTTAATCTCCCAAAGGAAGTCTCATTTTGAGATAACTCCATCAGTGTGTATGTAACTCTAAATGCTAAGACAGATAAATGTAAAAATAGCCATTCATACTTATATGCATATCAGTACACCATAATAATTAATACTTTCTTTGGATATAGACTTTGCTGAACTGTCAACACATAAAATTGCAATTTGTAAACCTCATATAAGAATATGATAGTATTTTTTCTTAACACTAAGCTAATTATAAATGATTAATAAATATTTGCTTAATGTTATTAAAATTTCAGTAATGATGGTTTAAAATTGATTAAAGTAATGTTAATATCTTCTTTACAATAAACTACCCTTGCCAAATGAGTGAAGTTATTAAATATTTCTTATGTTCTTATTTTTGTTTAACAGTTTCAAAGTTCAAAGGTACTGTTTTGTAAAATCCAAATTATATTTTTAAATTTCTCTGGTTTTCAAGCTTTTATATGTGATACTAGCCAAGAACTAAGTACTGTATTAGACTGATAATTAAGGAATATCAGACTTTCCTTTCTATTGCTGTGCAAGCATCTTTTATCTCTATTAGCCACAAAACCATTTACAGTCACAGGTTAACCTAACATTTTCTCTTTTTTGTATCAGTTATTGTTGTGACTTTTTAATGAAAATTTTCATTTCAACTTGCTACAAAAGGCAGACAATTCACATTAAATGACAAGTGAACTTTTATTTTCATACTTAATTAAAACGAAAGTAGGTCTCACTGTATTTTGTAACCAAATAAGTCCAATTTTTATGGATGATTGCCAATTGGCTTGAAGAGTGTTGATAACATTTACTATTTGAAATTTTCAGATACTTATCCTTTCCTCTGTCAAATAGAATTATTTTTTGTTGAGAAGATTTTTCCTCTTTCACTATTCACACTCCAACCACATGGCATTAGTTGGAACTTTGTTCTTTTTCTTTCTTTTTAAATTTTATTTTAAATTTTTTCTTGTTTTACTTTTTGTAATTTTTTATTTGTTCTTCTTAGATATACATGACAGTAGAGTGTATTTTGTAGTTTTTCAATTCCCAGGACTCCATAGGCCAGAAAATGTACACCAGAATAGACTCCTGTCTAGTGCAAAAGGTCAAAACACTTCCCCCAGAAAGTATATTTTTAACTTTTTTGTCTTTATTGTCTTTTTCAAGTTTGTAGAAAAGACATTGCCTGAAGTCTGAGCTTACACTGTTTGAAGTAAAACGAGTGGGTATTTTCTCTTTAGTTCACTGGGCATTACATCCAGTGGGTTTATGAAGGGAAAAAAGCCTAGAACCTATTTAAGCCTAGGACTGAGAAGAAAACACATTTTAATTTTTTTAATGAGTTATAGTTACTTTGCAATTTAGGAACAGAAATCAGATTTTAAAAATCATAATTTTGCCTGATGAAATGTACAAATTAATATCTGTAATAGAAATAAACTCCACAAGACAAAAAAAAATTGTTTCATTTACTGTTGATCCTTAGAAGCTAAAAGATTGCCTGCACAGGTAAATATTTGTTAAATGAATTTGCCTCAGCAGAGTTTGTTTACTGGATTTTATTTTACTTAGGACTATATATTACTTTAGTTTTTATAACTATTGTTAGCTACCTGAATAATATTGCAAAATGGGTTCAGGAAAGGGGATTGTATAAACACTATGACCTACAATTTATGGTAGCTCTTGCTATGTACTTTGAAATAAAAAATTATCTGAATTTGTAAAGCAGAACGCTTGGTGGCGCTGCAGGCTAAGAGAGTGAAAAACTGGAGCCAGTGACTCCTTGAAAACTGAACAGTTTCCAGCAGTTTAAAAAGGAACCGTGTTACATTTCTAGGGGTAAGAATATTTCAAAGAAGCAGCTCCCACTATGTCAATCGTATTTTTTTTTAAAAAAAAAGATTAACATTATTAAATCTAGATAGCTGAGTTGGATACAAATCAATTATTGTGTATTAAAATACTGCATCTTTTGGACCCGAAGGAACAATGGAGTCTCCGCTCCCCAAAGCGCCTCAGAAAAGGCAAGTGACCATCACTATTTTCTTGTTTCTACTGTGGGAGGTGGGCAGTGTAACCGTTAAGTATTCCATTCTAGAAGAAAGAGACAGCGGTTCTTTTGTGTCCAACCTAGAAAACGATCTAGGGCTGGGCATAGGGGAGCTGGCCAAGAGGGGCGCCCAGATTCTTTCCCAAGGGAATAAACAGCACTTAGAGCTTGAACAAAAGAGTGGGAATTTGCTCCTAAAAGAAAAATTGGATCGAGAGGAGTTGTGCGGGGACACGGATCCATGTATACTGCATTTCCAGGTGTTAGTGAAAAACCCGGTGCAGTTTATTCAAGGTGAACTACACCTCCAAGATGTAAATGACCATGCCCCAGAATTCTTGGGAAAGGAAATMCTCCTTAAAATCGCGGAAAGCAGCCAACCAGGGACTCTGTTTCCTTTGGAAATAGCTCAAGATTTGGACGTTGGTAGCAACACAGTTCAGAACTACATAATTAGCAGCAACTCCTATTTTCACCTTCTCACTCGCAATCACAGCGACGGCAGGAAATACCCCGAGCTGGTGCTGGAAAAAGCCCTGGACCGAGAGGAGCAACCCGAGTTCAGGTTAACCCTCACAGCTCTGGATGGTGGGTCTCCGCCCAGAACTGGAACTTGCCAGGTTCTCATCCTGGTTTTGGACATCAATGACAATGCCCCTGAATTTGCTCAAGGACTCTACCAGGTGCAGATCCCAGAGAACAGCCCTGTAGGTTCCCTTGTCATAATCGTCACCGCTAGAGATCTAGATGCTGGGATCTATGGGGAGCTCACCTACTCATTTTTCCAATCCCCAAATCAAGTCATTCAGGCCTTTGAAATAAATAAAGCCTCAGGAGAAATTAGATTAAAAAAACTGTTGGATTTTGAAGAAATTGACTCTTACCACATAGAAATTGAGGCCTCAGATGGTGGAGGTCTTTCAGGAAAATGCACTGTCGTCATAGAAGTGATGGATGTAAATGACAACGCCCCTGAACTGACTATGTCATTACTTATCAATGATATCCCAGAAAATTCCCCAGAAACTGTAGTTGCTATTTTCAGAATTTCAGATCCAGACTCTAAAGACAACGGAAAAATGATGTGTTCCATTCAAGACCATCTGCCCTTTATTCTGAAACCCACAGTAGAAAACTTCTACACTTTGGTCACAGAAGGAGCACTGGACAGAGAAACCAGAGCCCAGTACAACATCGTCATCACCGTCACCGACTTGGGGACACCCAGGCTGAAAACCAAGCACAACATAACCGTCCTCGTCTCCGACGTCAACGACAACGCCCCTGCCTTCACACAAACATCCTACACACTGTTGGTGCGCGAGAACAACCAGCCCGCTCTGCACATAGGCACCATCAGTGCCACTGACAGAGACTCAGGCACCAACGCCCAGATCACCTACTCGCTGCTGCCAAACCAGGACCCGCACCTGCCTCTCGCCTCGCTGGTTTCCATAAACGCAGACAACGGGCAGCTGTTCGCGCTGAGGGCGCTGGACTTTGAGGCCCTGCAGGCATTCGAGTTCCACGTGGGCGCCACAGACCAAGGCTCTCCCGCGCTCAGCAGCCAGGCGCTGGTGCGAGTGGTGGTGCTGGACGACAATGACAACTCGCCCTTCGTGCTGTACCCAATGCAGAAYGCCTCTGCRCCCTGCACWGAGCTRGTRCCCAGGGCGGCAGAGCAGGGCTACCTGGTCACCAARGTGGTGGCRGTGGAYRGAGACTCGGGCCAGAACGCCTGGCTGTCATACCAGCTGCTCAAGGCCACGGAGCCAGGGCTGTTTGGCGTGTGGGCGCACAATGGCGAGGTGCGCACCGCCAGGCTGCTGAGTGAGCGCGACGCGGCCAGGCACAGGCTGGTGGTGCTGGTCAAGGACAATGGCGAGCCTCCGCTGTCTGCCAGCGTCACGCTGCACGTGCTGCTGGTGGATGGCTTCTCCCAGCCCTACCTGCCGCTCCCGGAAGTGGCGCCTGAGCACGCGCAGGGGGACTCGCTCACTGTCTACTTGGTCATTGCCTTGGCCTCTGTGTCATCTCTCTTCCTCTTCTCTGTGCTGGTGTTCGTGGCGGTGAGGCTGTGCAGGAGGCGCAGGGCGGCGCCGCTGGGTGTCTGCTCTGTGCCTGAGGGCCACTTTCCTGGCCACCTGGTGGATGTCAGTGGCACCGGGACCCTGTCTCAGAATTATCGATATGAAGTTTACCTGGCGGGAAGTTCTGAGACTAGTGAGTTCCAAGTTCTTAAACCAATGCTCCCCAACTTACTGGGTGAAGGTGCTGATAAGAATACCGAAGAAAACCGTAACTTGAAGAATCATTTTGGGTTCAATTAGGAATGTGATTTTGACAATATGAGATAAATTATTATATTCACTAGTCTTGTAAATTCTTTACCCTTTCATTCACGTAAAGAAAGTACTAACGTGTGCAGTAATTATTGTATGTATAAGAATTTCAACCTGTAGTACTATTTTTTCATTGTTTCCATTTCTTAGGTATCTCACATATTGCACGTGGACATAATAGCAGAGAAATCAAGTGGTGTTTTTTCTTTTGGTCCTGTTTTTGCAAGTCACAGATATTTTCAGGTTTATTTTTCAACTTATTCGTTGGTACCTTTTTATAATTAAGATAATCATTCTCCAAACTTACTGATTACCCACAGCAATTATTTGTAATTAATGTCTCTTAGTTTTAAAAAAAATAGTTTTCATTTATGCAATAAATTTAAGTGACTTTATAACTTGTGTTTCTGTTGTTTTGTTTCAAAAACATAATTGTCTTTCTCAAAGAAACCAATAGTTTATCTGGATGGTGTTTACTTAAGTTGAGTAGTTTCTTTCAAAATTGATATCATTCGGTTAGGTGACCTATTATTTTATGGAATTTAATATCTATTACGTGAAAAATTTTAAAACAGTGGTAGACTTGTGACTACTTTTTCATTATAAATGGGTTTGGTACTGAATGATTCTTATTTTTCAAATTATATTTACTCTCATCATTCAAACATATATAATAAGTACAAAAATAAGATTAACATAATAATTCTGCTATCCAGAAATAATTTAAGTAACATCATTCTAAAATATTCTATTTGGACTGAGGGTGTAGCTCAGTGGTAGCTCACATAATGAGCRGTCAAGAAGCTGAGTTCCATACCCAAGACCACATAAAAAGAGTATAAATAAAATATACCTCTAAATATATATGAGTGAATTGTTGGGTGGAGATAATTTATAAAACTGATAATAAACTGATAGTTTCTAATTAAAATTATTAGATAAAATGTAATAAAATGAGAAATTATAAAACTTTCTTAGGCTTAGACAAATAATATCTATGAGATTTGAAAACAAGATTATGATGCATATGAAGAACAGCAAATGTATCTCAGTGGTTATTCAGTGGTTATTCAATCCCCAGCTCTGCTCCAAAATTGCTGCTGTAGTGCATACTAAGAAATTAGCATCATTTAACTTTTTTGTTTAAAAATGAGAAAATAGTGCTGGGAATGTAGCTTAGTGATAGAGTGCTTACTTAGCATATGTGAGACCTTGGGTTTGATCTCCAGCACTGCAAAAACAAGTACATAATAATAAAGTAAAAATGAGCAAATAAACACTTTTAAATCTCCTCTCTCCTCATCAGGCTTATATTTTGTGTGATATATACCTATAAATTACCTTATCAATATTTGTAACATTTACAATATATTTGAAAAGATAACTTCTATAATCAGTCATTTTATATTTTTAATTGAAATTCATATAATGCTACATTTTTAAATTTCATTTGAGTGCCCAGAGGTAATCACTTTTGATAATTGTATCTGTTCTTCCCTATTTACTTTTTTTAAATAAKACATGGTTTGTTTTGTTGTTGGCTTTAAATTTTTGCAATGCTGGGGATAGAAACCAGGGCTCACATATTCTGGATGAGTGCTCTACAACTGAACTACCTCTCCAGCCACTACTTCTGTATTTCTAAATAATATGTCTATAAACTGCTTTTTTCTATTTTCAGTTTTAGATATCCTTTACTTCCTTTCTTAAACAGCACACACAAACATTCACACATACACATATACTTTTACATTTTCTCTACTCCATCCTCCAAATTAGAAATATCATAATTGTTTATATTGTGTATAAATAATTAATACTATGCAAATATTGATTACATCTGAGCCTCAAGAGGAAAAAAGAAAAGCCACTTTGTTTAGCCTTAAATTAATAGTTGCCTCCTTTTTCATCTTATTTACTTCTCTATCTACATAGTTTTAAGGTATTCCCATGCTTTCTAAAATCTAAAGCTCACAATTTGATATTTAGACTCAAAAAGATATCTATTAGTTTCATTATTTTCTCTTCAAGCCACTCTAGAGCAAAAYAAACTCCTGTTCAACAGTATACTATTTGCTCTCTAGACCTATTGCATAGCTAGTAGTTTGCATTACTCTCATAATGGGAATCTTATCTTCCTTTTGCATTTGATTCAATTTTCTGGATTTTCTACTTCTCTCTTATTATTTTCTTTGGAGTTCCTAAAGAATATTTGCTATTAATGTATTGAGAGATTGAATATCTTAAAATTCTAGATGTCAAAAGATTCAGTGTGAAGATTTTATTGTGTGCAAAGTTATAGGTGGAATTATTTGCTGCTAGTACTTTGAAGGCATTCCTCCTCTGTCTTTTAATCTCCAGTGTCGAATATGCATTAACATTCTGACCATCCATGTTTCTCTGAGAACCACTGTTTTCCCTCTGGGTCTCTGGATCTCAACCAGAGCAATTTTACCACCCAGAGACATTTGGCAATGTCTGGAAACATTTTGATATTCACAACTGTAGAACATTCTTCTCCTTGGTAGATATGCTGTTAAATATTCCACAATCCATGGGTCAGCTTCCCACAAAGAATTAACTGACCTCAAATGCCAGTAGTGTTGGGGCTGAGAAACTTTATATGAATTTACCTTCTTATATATAGCACCAGCATTCTAGAATTTCACTATTGTGTTATAGTGGAAAAAATTTTTGTCACTCATTGTGCTAGGTACTCAGTGAGACCTGTCAATCTTGAGATGTACTCTTCAAACTAGGACATGTTTAAGAATTTTGTGGGTTTGTTTTGTCATTTAAAAAATTATTTCCTCCACTCAATGTTCTTTGTTTTCTATAACTCCTTTTAATTTATAGTGAGCTCCTGGGTTRATATTTAACGTTTCTTCTTTCTTTTCCCCTTTGTTTAAAAAAATAACATTTTATGTTGAACCATCCTTGCTTCATTTGATCATGGTGAATAATCTTTGTGTGTATGTGTGTGGATGTGTGGAGGGGTGATGGTAGGGATGAACCCAGGGCCAAATGCATGCTATACAAGTGCTCTCTCACTAAGCCACACCCCAGTCYGTGAATAATCTTTTAAATGTGCTATTAGATCCAGTTTGCCAGTATTTTGCTAGATCCAGTCTGCCAGTATTTTGTTCATTAAGGATATTGCCTTGCAGTTTCCTACTTTTTGTGTGTATATGGTGCTAGGGAKCTAACCCAAGACCTTGTGCATGCAAGGCAAGCATTCTATCAACTGAACTATATCTCCAGCCCTAGTTTCTTATTTTTGCTGTGTCCTTGTCCAGTTTTGGTATCGGAGTATATGTTGGGAAGAATTCCTTTCTCTTCCATTTTTTTGTGATAATTTAAGAAATTTGATGTTATGTATTCTTTTAATGTTTGGTGGAATTCAGTAGTGAAGATGTCTAGTTCCAGGCTTTTCTTTGATGCGAGACTTTTTATTACTGATTCAATCTTATAGTTGTTATGAGACTCTTTGGATTTTCACTATTTTTTCATGATTCAATCTGGGTAAGGTTTTTATGTCCAGGAATTTGGGCATTTCTTCTAGATGATCAAATTTATTAGCATATAACTGATCATAATACTCTCTAAAGAACCTTTATATTTATTTCCATGGTATCAGTTGTAATGTTTCCTTTTTAATCTCTGATTTTACTTGAGCCATCTATTTTTCTTAATCTAGGTAAGGTTTGTCAGTTTTATGTATTTTTTTGAAGAACCAGCTTTTTATTTCTTTGATATTTGGCATTGTTTTTTTAGTCTCTATTTCTCCTTGGATCTTTTATTTATTTTATTTTATTATTTTTTTGTGATACTAGGGATAAAACCCATGTTTGCTCTACTACTGTAGAGCAAATCCAGTCCTTTTTTTTAACATTTTGAGACAGGGACTATTTTCAAGCCTGGCCTCAAAGTTACATCCTCCTGCCTCAGCCTCCCAAGTAGCTGGTATTACAGGTGTGCATCACTCCACCCARCTGAATTACCCTTTGATCTTTAATATTTCTTTGCTTATACTAATATTGGGTTGGGTTTGTGTTTTTCTAATTCCTTAAAAGGCAGCAACAGGTTGTTTATATAATATTGTTCTGCTTTTTTCACATAGGCACTATTGCTATGAACTTCCCTCTAAGTATGGCTATTGCAGTACCCCATAGGCTTTGGTATGTTGTGTCTCTATTTTCATTGGTTTGAAATATTTTTAAAATTTCCTTCTTGATTTCATCCTTGATCTGTTGATTTAACAGTAAGTTGTTTAATATTCACTTTTTCTTATAGTTGTTATTATCTTTCGTACTTATTTTCCTGGATTCTAGCAAATATTCTCGCTTATTTTTGCATGCTTCTGACTGAATTTTAAACTTTTGATATCAGTTTTACTTTCAAAARCTATTTTTTTGTTCAATGAATTTTTATTTTGACAGAAGCCTTCTGGTTTTAAATTCTTTGGTGAGCTATAATTCATATACCATAACAATAACCCTTAAAAATAGAATCCATTGGATTTTTAGTATATGCAAAATGTTGTACAATTATTACCACTAATTCCAGAACATTTTCACTTGTTATCCCCAAAATCCAGTACCCATTAGCAACCACTTTCATAACCTCCTTCCTCTAACCTCTAGGAACCATTAATCAATTTTCTATCTCTTTGGTGTTCTGGACATTTCATATAAATGGAATAACACAATATGTAACTATTTGTGTCTAGATTCCTTTGCTTAGCATAATGTTTTCAAGGTTCATCTATGAATTAGTATGTATCAGTACTTCTTTCCTTTTTGTGGTTTAATAATATTTCATTGTATGAACGTGCTACATTTTGTTTATTCTTCAGTGATAGACATTTATTTGGGTTTATGTCTATTCTTGGTTATTATTAATAATACTGCTATGTACATTCATGTGTAAGTTTTTGTGTGGACATATGTTTTCAATTCTCTTGAAATTGAAGATTAAAATATACTGAAAATTAGAATTGCTAGGTCATATAGTGGCTATGCATAACTTTTGAGTTATCATCAAAACTGTTTTCCAAATTGACTGAAGTATTTTATATTTCTATCCATAGTATATGAGGGATCCAATTTCTACACATCCTCTTGTTATTTTTCTTTCTAACTCTTGCTATCCTAAAAAGTAGGAAATAGCATCATTGTGGTTTGATTTGTAGTTCCCAAATAAATAATGATGTTGTGCATTTTTTCAAATACTTGTTGATCATTTAAGTATCTTATTTGGGAAAATGTCAACTCATATCCTTTGCTGATTTTACCATTGAATTTTTATTTTTTAATTATTTTTAATGCCTTTATTTTATTTGTTTATTTTTATGTGGTCCTGAGGATTGAACCCAGTGCCTCATGCATGCTAGGCAAGCGCTCTACCACTAAGCTACAGGCCAGCCCAAATTTTTATTTTTTACTGTTGAATTGTAATAATTCTTTAAATATTATGGACTAGACTCTTATCAGATATATTATTTTTAGATATTTCTCCATTCTCTATCATTACTATTTTCCTTTGAAGCACAAAAGCTTTTTTAAAAAACTTATGTAGCCCAAATTATCTTTTTGTTGTTATTGTTGTTACCGAATGTATGAGAATTACAGACTACCACACTTGTTAAGCCAAATTGAAAGGGAAAAAAAAAGCCTTTTAATGAGCATGCCAGGCAAGTGGTTAGGAGCAGGCTAATGTTTCAAAGAACTCCCAGCACTTGAATTTTGGAAGTACAGAATTTATGAAGGCAAAAACCAAAACCCACAAGGATAATTGATGTACATGTGCCCAGAAAAGAACTTGTTGAGACATATTTTGATTATATGAGAATTGTTTTGATTAGTCATTTTTGTTATATATTAGGGCTATAGTCAAGAACATGGGAAGGTCCTGCTGAAGTGTCAACATAGGCAGCTGTCAGGAGGCTGAAAAGAAAACATTTTAAGCAAGCATACAGTGAAGTCAGGTCAGAACAAAATGGTGTTACTTTTGTTCTATTTCATTTCAATTGTTGCTTGTACTTCAGTTGTTATTATCTAAGAAATCATTGCCTTATGCAAGATCATGAAGGTTTACACTTTTTCTTCTAAAGGTTTTATGGTTTTAGCCCTCACCTTTAGGTCTTTAATCCATCTGTGGTCTTTTATTTTATTACAGGGAGTGGGCATTTTTTGTTCTCTCTGAAGAYATAATTTTAAGTTTTTAAAATATTTCTTCTAATACTAGCACTTTATTTTTCTTCTAAGTTATTTTTCATTCTGTTTTTTTTTTTTGGTCTCGACCTTCATGATAGAGACTTTTTATTTCACTGCTTGACTGTGTTTTTATTGTTTTAATGGGGCAGTGAAAAGTGGATTAGACATTAAATGTTAYATGGGACAAGTGGAGTGGTGGTCCTCACCTTAAGGTATTGAAATGGAATATATTGTTTGGGGACTAAAAGTCAATATTTTAAGTCTTTTATCTTGGACCAGGTTATTCTCCAGAGACATGTTTAATAAGGGTGGGCATGGGTGGGATGAAAGGTATTAAAAAGTTGATACCAAGCACTTTGAAAGTTTCTTGGATGTAGTACTAATCAGTATGTAGAAAACATTTAACCTTCTTCGCATGAAGATCTCAGCCTCATCCCCAGCTGATTCTGTGTCCCTTTATTCACGGACTTTTCTATTTAACCTTTAGAGATACTTAATATCTCATTTTCTGTCACTATGAGAAAAGGGAATGTACCTTGCTTCACTGACTAGTAAAGGAATTCTCAGATTTAAGTACTCCATAAACAGATTTTTCAATCAATAYAGTCCTTTAGCCTCTTCCTGGACTCTCAACTTGAATCATTACTTTGGCTGAATTTTTCTTCTTAAAATTTTCCCCTTCTCTTTTTAAAGCAGAAAATAGTGAAATGTGTCAGTTACCAATTGTTTATATTTTTTCATTTTTCCATAATTTTGGTGGTCTCCAATTCTTGTCTTTAAAAGTTCATTTGGGGCTGGGAATATATCTCAGTTGGTAGAGTGCTTGTCTCACATGCGAAAAGCCCTGGGTTCAATCCTCAGAACCACAAACAAAATAAAAAGTTCATTTATTTAAAAGCCTTTGCTTTCTATCACCTTAATGAGGCTTAAGGAGTGATTGTAAGGGAAACTGGTATGCTCAAACTGGAATGAAATGCAATCTTTAGTCATATTATCCCAGCTTCTCCTTACCTGACTCATTTATGGTTTTTAACCTATTCATTTGCTTTATTTCATCAGATGTAGTCCTTTAAATAAGAGTTTAAGCTAGCACAGAGGTGCACACCTGTAATTTCAGTGACTTGGGAGACTAATGCAGGAAGATCACAAGTTCCAGACCAGGCTGGGCAACTTAGTGAAACAAGTAAATTAAAAAAATAAAATAAAATAAATACAAAGGGCTGGAGTAGTTCAGTGGTAGAAAACCCCTGGGTTCAATCCCCAGTACCTGCCCTCCAACGAATTTATAGTTGCTGCACTTTTTGAATTCTAGATTCCTAAAAAGTACAATTTAGCTAGGTATAAAATATTTCAGTTGACTTTCTTTTCCTCAAAAATTCATTGACATCAAGTATTATATTAGTCCTTCTGTCAGTTTCTCCATTCATTTGTAAGTTGGCTGAATTTCATCCTTAGTTTTTTCCAAAAGGCACTCATGAGTACTAATGWAATGTTTTATTAATTCTTTCCTGTTTGCTGCATTGTTATCTTCGTACTTGAGCAACTTATTGACTGGTGTGAAATTACAAAGCCAAAAATTTCTTTCCCTCAAAACTTTTTATTTATTTATTTATTTTTTTTAGTTGGGCACAATATCTTTATTTATTTATTTTTATGTGGTACTGAGGATTGAACCCAGGGCTTCGAATGTGCTAGGCAAGCCCTCTACCACTGAAGCCACAACCCCAGCTCTCCCTCAAAACTTTACAGACATATTGTGTATTAAATGTTTCTCAGAGGAAATTTGAAATCTGTTTTTCCCCCTTTGGGTAATTTGTCTTCTATTCTTGATCATTATCATTATTAGGTTACATCTCAATTATTTTATATATTTTYCCCCTGGAATTGAGTGTGCCCTTTCAATCTGGTCCATGCAGATATTTTCAGGCATTTCATTTATTTATTTATATATGATAAATTTAATTGATTTAAAATTCTGTCARATATTTCCAATATCTGAAGTTTATGTGGGCCTATTTCTTCTGTATTTGTTTCTGCAGCTTCTCTTTCATGTTGTCTTTATTTCTTTGTATGACTCCTGATTTTTCTCTTTTTATTTAATTTTTTTCTTTTCAGACATGACAGTAGAGTATATTTTGGCACATTATACATACATGGAGTATAACTTATTCTAATTAGGATTATAACTTATTCTAATTAGGATATCACTCATATATGAATATAGGAAAGTTATGTCTGATTCATTCTACTATCTTTTCTACTCCAATCTCCCCTTCCCTTCATTCCCCTCCCCCCTTCCTTTCATTTCCTTTTGTCTAATCCAATGAACTTCTATTCTTTGTTTCTCACTCTTAATTGTGTGTTAGCATCCACATATCAGAAAGAACACTTGGCTTTTGGTTTTAGGGGATGGGCTTATTTCACTTAGCATGATTGACTCACATGATTGATTGCCCTTAAAATGGATTTGTGRGGTGTCCACAAAGCTTGTCTATATCTCTAAAATGGGTTTTCATTTGCTTCAGTTGGGATATTGGAAACATGTATAGGGGACCACCACAAATCAAGATTCATCACAAACCAAGCTTATAACTTGAAGTTTCTTGCAATTTGATCTATGCATGTTCAAAAAACAATATACAAAAGAATCAATTGATAGCTACAATTTCTGAGGCATATTTTATTTCGCATTCTAAATTCCTTGGAACTAGAGGGAGGGCAAATTTTGATCTGTTGATGTTTAGATTGTACTAACATTATAATATAACCTTGTAGATTCCCTTTATATGGGTAATACTTTCCTATAATATGTTTGCAAATATGAACCAAAGCCTTGGTTTATATTTCTTTAATGGCACATAACTTCAGATCCAAGCCAAATATGAATGTTTAAAAATTTCCCAAGGAAAGTTGGTTGTTCTTATATATTACTTACCCCTCTGTTGTAGGTTTAACTGTGTTTTCTACTGTTTTTAGTATATTATTCTACTAGGTTTTTAGCCTTCTTTAAAAAGTTATGTCCACCACTTTTTTCCACAGGAGGCTCATCTGAATTGTCTACACCATAATTTTCAGAAATAAAAAGCTCCTGGGCCAGGGTTGTGGCTCAGTGGTRGAGCACTTGCCTAACCCTTGGTCCCAGTGGGTAGTTGAGGATATAGGTCAGGTCTGAGTTAGTATAATATACACCCTAACTTTACCCAAATATATATTATTCCTTAATTATGTTAAAATGAGACCTCCCACATTTTAGCTTCCCAAGTAGATATGTGAATTATAGATTGCATTTTCCATCTTGCAACTAAGTTATATCAATGTAGTACTTCATGGGAGTATTTTTTAAATGAAGGAACATCTCTCTTCCTTTTATTTGTTGGTATGAYTAGAGATATAATGGACTAAGAAATAAAAGCCATGTTCTGAATATATCAAGTCAATGATAAAGTAAGACTGGATCCCAGGTATCATGGAGTTCATTTCAGCTACCAGCTTCCTTTTATATGAGAGATTAATAAAACTTCATTTTAAAAAGCCATTATTATGGCAGAAAGATCAATGGAGGAAAGAGAGTAGGGGGTGGGGGAAGGAAGTGTAAGGAGAAGTACTAGGGACTGAATTAGAACAAGATACATTCCATGCCTTTATAATTATATAAAAATGGATTCTACTGTCATGTATAACTAAAAAGAAAACAAAAAATGGGTAGAATAGTGTATGAGACAACATAGGAAAATCTTAGAAGYAGGAAAGCAGGTGGATTCCTTAGTAGACCTGACAACCCAACACCAACCCTGCAATGGGGTAAGGTGAGAACCAATCCTGTTTAGACTGCAGACAGTTTAGAGGTATCAGCTAGATACTCTGGAAATAATGATAGGGTGCCATGTAAGGAGAACTGTGTTAAAGCTGCCTGAGAAGCAGTTAAACCTCTAGCAGTTGGATCACATTTCTCCACTTCAGTCACTGAGTAGCCTATCTCCCTGGCCCTAACAAGTCTAGAGTTTAAACTGTGATGAATGTCAAAAGGCAAGGTCCATTATAAAAAAAGGTTCTACTGGCAAAATTGAGGACAGTGGTAGTGAAAAGTAAGTAACCATTAATTATAATTTTGAATTTTGATTGTTAAAAAGATATGACAGTCATTAGAACCAATTACAAATACTTAAGTTCCCTTTTCAGACACATGATAGAATTTCAATTCTATTTTTTAAAGTTATGTATGGCCATGTAATTTCCTTTCTGAGCTGAAATTTTCAGATACAGTGACTAGCTCAACACATTTTCCCATCACGGTGATGATGAGCAAAGCCTGGATTCCTAACTGAATGCTATAAGGAGGGACCCATGATGAAATGTACAGGATATATAGCATGAGAAAGAAATCAACATTCTATGTATTGGCCCATTCAGATTAGTGGAGTCATTTGGTAATGAACCTAGATTATCCTGATGTCAACTTCCAATCCTCTTTCCCCACTCAATCCTTTACCTTTTTCAATCCTTACTTTTTCCTTTTGGGTAAACTATGGGGAAAGAGCTAATCATATTATCAGGGTTTCCTCAATCATCAGTGCTCCCAGTTGGCCTTGGAATGAAGATCAAAATGGACCAGCACTAACAACTTGCTCAGAGCTGTGTTATACCTCTTAATCTCCTGAAATGAATTAAGAACAATTACTTGGGATTGGGATGTAGCTCAGTGGCAAAGCACTTGCCTTGTATGGGGGGGGGGGTTGATCCCCAGTTCCAAAAAAGAAAGGAAAACAAAAAAGACCCAAACCAAAAAAAGAAAGAAACAAACAAAAAAGAACAATCACTTGAGGTTTCCAGAAAGAAATATAATAATCAAAACAAAGCAAAGGAAAAAAGTAACTGGGGGAAAATAGAAGTTTGCAAAAAACAACAGAGGGAAAATTATTAATATCATCAGATAAAAGAAGACATTATTGCATTTAAGAAATAAGTACACGGAGAGCTCTTGGAAAACATGAATATAATAAATAAATTAAAATATCAGTATAAGAGCTTGAAAATAAAGTTTAGAAAATATCCTAGGAAATACTGCAAAACTGACAAACAGAAAAGAAAAAAAGAAGGAAATTAGAACCATATCAGARGTCCAACATTTGAATCACAAGAATTCCAAAAGGTGAGAGGAAGAGAAAGAAATTATCAATGAAGTAACTTAAGAATACTTTTTAACAGATGGAGGAAATTATAAAGATATCTTGTTACATTTATGATCACAACAAAATCTCATTATTATATATCATTCTCTGGAAATTACAGGAAGATGTAAAAAAATGAGAAAGTAAAGAGGAAGAAAAACAAAAAATAAAAGATACAAAATAAGACAAGTGAAATCAATCTCCAGATGGTATTGAAGGATGATCCCAGAATGACAACTGTGTCTCAAGAATAATGAACATAACAGTAGTCCAGTCTGGAGTTGTGTAACTCAAGAGATAGCCATTTTGAAGATATTATCAGTGAGCYCCTTGATATTGTATCACCATTTCCATCAGATGACCCTATTGGAAAATGTGATCTATTAACACAGTAGATAAAATGGGAAAATATGAAAATATAAACCAGAATAAAAGGAAAAGAGTATTCCAAGAATGACAGCAAAGGGAAGTTCCAAGATAGAACCTGAAAATAAATAGGTCTGCTGTGGTTGTAGTAAGCAGCCTCTCAATTTAAAGAAAAATTGATGTCTCAGGAAAGATGGTAATCACCATTTTGAAAGGCAACTGAAATTATTGAAAGCATAACAAGAAATGAAAAAGCAAGGCAATTATTAACTTCAAGAATAAATAAAGAAAATATAATTAGTACATAACAAAGTTCCCAATGTTACGAGTGAAAAAAAGTATGAAAGGGTTAAAATGTAATCCAATGTATTAGGGAATCAATTGGTAATCTGTAAAATCAATCAAGATACATCAGAAYAGAGACTAAGGGAAAAAATAGCTAAAGAATTTTAAATGGCTGCCTCTTTATTTGGGGTGGGAATCAGGAAAAATGAGAAGGGAAATGGCAGAGAACCATTGTATTTTATTATAAGCCTCTCAGCACTATTTGGTTTTGAACAAAAGTCATATGTTATTTTGAAATAAAATACATTTTAAAATATCAGTAAAATAAAGCTTTTTTAAGCCTCAAAAATAGGAGATAAAATACTAAATATTGTAATAATAATAGAGATACAACTAAAGGTAAGTAATACAATAAAATTTGAAAACTAGAAAAAAATGTTTTTTAAATAAAACACAAGTTACTTAAAAAGCAATCAAAACATGAACAGATTTATAACCAAAGGTGAAATGGAAAAAATAGTCATGGATCTACCATCATCATCAAAGTCACCATTCCAACCAGTTTACAAGGCAGGCTGWAATTAAGCTTGTAGAAACAAATAATAATAATATGTTTATAAAAAACTAGTCTGCCATACAAAAGTAGATGTAAGGCTTCCTAACCCATTCTATGAGGCCAGAATGATAGTTTAATACCMAAAACCATAGAAGTTAAACACACACAACCATGTGGGGCTGAAAAATCCTAAAATCATGTTGACACATCAAATCTATCTGTACACCAAAACTATAAGACATCATGGTTAAATTTCATTCATATCAATGACTCAAGAATTAAAAAAGCTTAAGTATAAAGAGAAAATTTAAACAAACATGAAAATTACCTTAATTGTGAAAGAATAAAGAAAAGATGATTGATGTTTTTTAAAAGTATTTTTCTCAAATTGAGATCAACCACCAGTAGTTAAAGATGAAATACTAGAAACATAACTGCAAGATTGACTTAACTTGCTACTACAATTTTAGAGTATTCACTGGATGTTGGAGATCCTGGCCATTGAAATTGTTTATRAATAATAAATTATAAATAATACTTAAGGTAAGTGAAGGTTGAAGGCTGTGCAGCATAAAGTGTTCCAGAAAATACCATGGGTGAAGAGTGAAGACCTTGAAAATGTAAGTATTATATAATGCACAAGAAACTGATAAAGATCTGTTATTCTGCTTGTGTAGACTTCCTCATTGCTAAGTGACTTACAAATAAACAAAATATCCTGAACCAATATTTCTTGGCTTCTTGATTAAGGCTTCATTTTCTTTCATATTCTTTACTATCAATTTTTGGGATAGGAGAAGGTTTTCTTCAGATTTTTAAAAGATTTTTGGTGGGGAGCCAGAGTGTCCCTAGATTTAAGAAAACAAGAGATTCATTTTTTTGCTACGAATTCAGATTATCACAGGGGGAAATGAGAACAAGCTATTACTTACTAGCATTACTGCAACCACTTGAAGAAAAGAGGTGACATGAAACAGCAAGGACACGAAAAACTCAGTCCTGTTGCAGAATGCCTTCAATCCGCCATCTTTTTTTTTTTTTTTTTTTTTCCTTCCCCTATTCTTGAGAATAGGAATAACAAGCACAAAACGCAAGGTGGCGCTGCTGGCTAAAAAGAGAAGGGGGAAAAAAATATCCTCACAAAGAAAGTTACAGATTCCAGCGTCAAGGGAAGTCTGGCCAGAAGGGAAGAGGAAAGGAAATCGCAGAGATAAGCGTTAGGGAAAAGTGGGGATCTCTCCCCACGAGAAATGCCCTTATCCCACCATCTCTAAGGATTTAGTTCCTGCCCTTTCTGAGAGCTGCTKGAGGCCCAGAGGTTCTGTTTTTGAAAGACTGACAAATAATGGAGGCCAGTGGGGAGCGCGCTGTACAGAAAAGGCAAGTCGTGGTTTTCTGTTTATTTCTGGGAGTGTTTGGGGCTGGCGCGGAACCGCTTCGGTATTTTGTGGCGGAGGAAACTGAGAGAGGAACTTTTCTGGCCAATTTGGCCAATGACTTGGGGTTGAGGGTGGGAGAACTCTCAGACCGACGGTCTAGAATTGTTTCAGACCAGAATATGCGATTTTTGCTGCTCAATTCGCTTACTGGTGATTTACTACTAAATGAKAAATTGGACCGGGAAGAACTATGCGGCCCCACAGAGCCCTGTGTGCTTCCTTTCCAGTTGTTATTGGAAAAGCCTTTTCAGATTTTCCGTGCYGAACTACAAGTCAGAGACATCAATGATCATTCTCCAGTCTTTCTGGACAAAGAGATTCTCTTGAAAATATCAGAAAGTACAAATCCAGGTGCAGCATTTCCTTTAGAAAGTGCACAGGATTCAGATGTTGGAACCAACAGCCTGAGTAATTACACCATCAGCCCTAATGCCTATTTCCATGTTAATGTCCATGTTGGTGGGGAGGGGAATCTTCTTCCTAAATTGATACTGGATCAAGCGCTGGATCGAGAGGAGATACCTGAGYTCAGTTTAATCCTCACGGCCTTGGATGGCGGCTCTCCGGGCAGATCCGGAACCACGCTATTACGCATCCTGGTGGTAGATGTCAACGACAATGCCCCTGAATTTGTGCAGTCGCTCTACAAAGTGCAGGTACCTGAGAACAGCCCGGTTGGCTCCCTGGTCGTCACTGTCTCAGCTAGAGATTTAGATACAGGAAGTTACGGGGAAATAGTCTATGCATTTTTTTATGCCACTGAAAGAATTCTCAAAACATTTCAAATCAATTCAACATCTGGATATCTTTATCTTAAAGCCAGATTGAACTATGAAGCAATTCAAACTTATACATTAACTATTCAGGCCAAAGATGGTGGAGGACTTTCTGGAAATTGTACAGTGATTGTTGAGGTAACAGATATAAATGATAATCCACCAGAAATTCTCATATCATCACTTACTAGTCCAATTGCAGAAAACTCACCAGAGACCGTGGTTGCTGTTTTTAGGATTAGAGACAGAGATTCAGGGAACAATGGGAAAATGGTGTGCTCCATCCAGGATGATCTCCCCTTTGTCCTGAAGCCATCTGTAGAAAATTTCTATACATTGGTAACAGAGAGATCTTTGGATCGAGAGCAGAACACTGAATACAGCATCACAATCACTGTYACTGACTTGGGGACACCAAGGCTGAAAACTGAACACAACATTACTGTCCTTGTCTCTGACATCAACGACAATTCCCCTGCCTTCACACAAACATCCTACACGCTGCTAGTGCATGAGAACAACAGCCCTGCCCTGCATATCGGAAGCATCAGCGCCACAGACAGAGACTCAGGCACCAACGCCCAGATCACCTACTCACTGCTGCCAACCCAGGACCCGCACCTGCCCCTCACCTCGCTGGTCTCCATCAACGCAGACAATGGGCAGTTGTTCGCGCTGAGAGCACTGGACTTCGAGGCCCTGCAGGCATTTGAGTTCCACGTGGGCGCCACAGACCAAGGCTCACCTGCGCTCAGCAGCCAGGTGCTGGTGCGAGTGGTGGTGCTGGACGAAAATGACAACTCGCCCTTCGTGTTGTACCCAATGCAGAACGCCTCTGCGCTCTGCACCGAACTGGTGCCCAGGGCGGCAGAGCAGGGCTACCTGGTCACCAAGGTGGTGGCGGTGGACAGAGACTCAGGCCAGAACGCCTGGCTGTCATACCAGCTGCTCAAGGCCACCGAGCCAGGGCTGTTTGGCGTGTGGGCGCACAATGGCGAGGTGCGCACCATCAGGCTGCTGAGCGAGCGCGACGCGGCCAGGCACAGGCTGGTGGTGCTGGTCAAGGACAATGGCGAGCCTCCGCTGTCTGCCAGCGTCACGCTGCACGTGCTGCTGGTGGATGGCTTCTCCCAGCCCTACCTGCCGCTCCMGGAAGTGGCGCCCGAGCGCGCGCAGGGGGACTCGCTCACTATCTACTTGGTCATCGCCTTGGCCTCTGTGTCGTCGCTCTTCCTCTTCTCTGTGCTGGTGTTCGTGGCAGTGCGGCTGTGCAGGAGGCGCAGGGCGGCGCCGCTGGGTGTCTGCTCTGTGCCTGAGGGCCACTTTCCGGGCCACCTGGTGGATGTCAGTGGCACCGGGACACTGTCTCAGAGCTACCAGTATGAAGTGTGTCTGARAGGAGGTTCAGGGACGAACAGTGAGTTCAAGTTCCTAAAACCAATTTTCCCCAATATACTATCCCAGAGCATAGGGAGGGAAGTGGAGGAAAATCCCTCATTTCAGAATAATTTGGGTTTCTCATAAAGAATGATAAATAAGCCCTTCTGTCTGAATATATCCTCTGTCTGAGGRTATATTCCTAGTTAGAAACTTACCCTGGATACCTGTAAAGAAGTGACTTTGTAGTATTTCAAGAACTCTTAAAGTCAAAAACGGATCCAGCTTAATTCCCAAGAACCATCCACAAGCATGAAATATATATGTGTCATGTTTTATTCCAAACAATTATGCTTAATGTGCAGTTGGAGAAGTTTAAGGGCAGTTAAATTTATTTAGAGTTATTTTAAATTGCTTTCCATTGTCTTCATTCTTTATTGCTAATTTTCATAGTTGACTGGGATTCTGTAAAAGTGTACCTACTATAAGTTTGGGGAGCAGAGATTGTAGAGTGTTTTCTAAAGATTTTTTTTCAAAGCACATATGGTCTAGCATACACTATCTTAACACAATTAATCGTCAATGAAACCTATGAGGGGAGGAATTTCAGAAGTGAGCTAATATTTAGKCMTAGTGACTCAGTAAGGTCACCAACTACTAAATAGCAGAACTGAGAATCTCCTAGTTATTTTTGTTGGTATCATGGCACCAATGCTATACTGTTTTCTGTCATTAGATAGCACTTGGCATGTTTCTAAACAATAAAAGAGTTTTTTATCACACTGCTGGGTGTAATGATATTACTACTGGTCTGTAGTTTTATTATTTTAATAAACCAACAAGCCATATTTTATGAAACAGTTATTCAACTATTACTATTAAAGATCTGATCTAACCAAATRTCAAGTAAAACAAATTGAAAGATCAACTAGTGCTTTTTCCTGAACATATGTTTTTCATTTAACAGAAAAGATTAATGGTCCTGAGTAGGGATATTACATAATTTTGTATTTTCCTCACATTACAGTGTTTCTTCTGCAGTATTTCATAGCTATATTCATAATACTTTTTCCCAATTTAATTTAAAWTTTTATTTTAAGAATTTCCTACTCAATTTAATGCAGTGCTTAGTCAGAAAAAAATAATAAAATGAATAATGTAGTATCAAATAGTATYAAAGAGAAACATAAACTGTTAATAMATTTTAGAAATTATGGTGCATTAAGGAGAAGCTTTGTATTTAAAAATTATCCAGAGCTGGAGGTGTAGATCCTGGATACAGCACTTAGCATGCTTGAGTGCTCTCAAAATATTATATATTATTGCCAAAAATAGTATTAGTATCAATGTACAGTACTAGTGGGATATAGTCTACAGATAAAATACAGTAATAAAATCTTAAATTGTTTTCAATAACTTCTCAACAAACAAATAGCATGGAAATTGAAAAAGGGAAGTTTACACAGTAAAAGAACTTGAGAGACTTTACAGCCAAATACAATGTGTGTATCTTGCTTGATATTGACTGAATGATTTTGAATACACTAGAGAAATTTGAATATATATGAATCTTAATTAATATTAACAATTTCTTAGGTATGATAATGACATTGTAGTTTAGGTTTTTACAGTGAGAAATGCATAACAAAGTATTTGTGGATGAAAATTCACTTTTCCYAGAATGTGAAACTAGTGATAAGTACATGGAGGGTTATAATATTATTCTTTTATGGGGTTTGAGATTTTTTTAAATGACAAGGTTATTAGAAGTTGATYCTGTGAGAAAAGAAATAGAGGTAATCAAAAAAGACATTCTTCCAAGATATATATTTACTACTGCTATCACAGATTTACTGAATTTATGCCTCTATTTAACAAGCTTTTCAGTGTTTCCTTGTTTCATATTTGACATAACTTCTTTCTGAGATAGTCCTGCTTATGCATTCATCTACCATGTGAATTTTTAGGTGTTTTCTAGTCACAACAATGGATTCATGCAGATTCAGCTAGCTAGTGGCATCAAATCACTATATATTGTTTATTTATAAAGTTAACTTTTCTCTACATTCGTTTCCTCATCTGTAAGGTGGGAAATTCGTGATAGCCCTATGTGATAGTTGTTATTACTATTTCACTTTACATGTGTGTAAACTGAGGCAAAGAAAGATTAAATAATTTGCCTAAGGAAGTTTCATATGTAGTAATTGTTTCCATAATTCACAGCAATTAAAAGTGTATAATTATGAAAGTTTTCTATGTTATTCCAATGTATGTTTTTTCTGATTATTACAATACTATGTACCTTTTGCCCCAAACTCAATTAGAATTATTGAAAATCTCTGCTAATGTCATTTCCTGTGTGCTTYAGGTAATTGTCCACCCCAAATGGTACAGTGATAGTTGATGTGGTGTTGTAACCTTATATAGCCCACTGGTACACAGAGGCAATGTTAGGAATATTGCATCCATTTTCATTCCACAAATTGTAAGAACCTATAAGGCCGCTTGGTGGCGCTGCAGGATAAGAAGGTACAAACCGGAACCATAGGTGCGACTCCAATACRGGAAAATTTACCAGCAGAGGCTGGAAACCCAACCCAAGCTTGAATGCCACAGAAAGGAGGACTGGATTCTCTGAAAAGGACTCTAAAAAGAACTGGAATATTTCTCAGATATCTTGCGGAATACCACAGCATCAGATACTCGCGACTTTACAGTTCAGCAGACAATCTTGCAGTGGRCTGTACCAAACACAATGGAGGCCAGCGGGAAACGCATCTGCAGACAAAAGCAAGTCATTTTCTTTTTCCTATTGGGCTTATTTCAGGAGGGAGCGGGAGAGCCTAGGCGCTATTCTGTAGTGGAGGAAACTGAGGGCAACTCCTTTGTAACCAATCTRGCAAAGGATTTGAGTCTGGGACAAAGGGAATTCTCCAGGAGGGGGGTTAGAATCMTCTCCAAAGGGAATAAGCTACATTTGCAGCTCAATCAGGAGACGGGGGAATTGTTACTAAATGAAAAACTGGACAGGGAGGAATTGTGTGGGCACACAGAGCCCTGTGTGCTTCGTTTCCAGGTGATGCTAGAGAGTCCTTTAGAATTTTTTCAAGCTGAGCTACAAATAATAGACATAAATGACCACTCTCCGGAGTTCCTGGACAAAGAAATGTTGCTGAAAGTATCAGAGAGCAGTCCTTCTGGAACTACATTTCCTCTGAAGAATGCTCAAGACATGGATGTAGGCCAAAATAATATTGAGAACTATGTGATCAGTCCCAATCCCTATTTTCGGGTCCTTACTCGAAAACGCAGCGATGGCAGGAAATATCCAGAGCTGGTGCTGGAGAAAGAGCTGGATCGAGAAGAGGAACCTGAGCTCAAGTTAACCCTCACAGCACAGGATGGTGGCTCTCCACCACGGACTGGCACAGCTCAGATCCACGTTGAAGTCGTGGATGTCAATGATAATGCCCCRGAATTTCAGCAGCTCATCTATAGGGTGCAGATTCCTGAAGACAGTCCGATAGGTTTCCTGATTGTCACGGTCTCTGCTAYGGATGTAGACCTTGGAGTCAATGGAGAGGTCTCTTATTCACTGTTCCAGGCTTCAGATGAGATTAGCAAAACATTTGCAATTAATCCCTTGACAGGAGAAATTCGGCTGAAAGAACAACTTGATTTTGAAAGAGTTGAGTCCTATGAAGTCAATATAGAAGCGAGAGATGCTGGAAGCTTTACTGGAAAATGTGTGGTTCTGATCCAAGTCACGGATGTGAATGACCATGCCCCAGAAGTTACCATGTCTGCATTTACTAGTCCCATATCTGAGAACTCTCCGGAGATGGTGGTTGCAGTTTTCAGTGTGTTAGATCTTGATTCAGGAGAAAATGGGAAAATAAGTTGTTCCATTCAGGAGGATCTACCCTTTTTCCTGAAATCTTCAGTGGAAAACTTTTACACCCTATTAACMGAGAGACCACTGGACAGAGAGAACACAGCTGAGTACAACATCACCATCACTGTCACGGATTTGGGGACACCAATATTGAAAACAYACCTTAACATAACAGTGCAGGTATCAGACGTTAATGATAACTCGCCAATCTTCATGCAAGCCTCCTACATCCTATTGGTGCAAGAGAACAACAGCCCCGCCCTGCACATAGGCAGTGTCAGCGCCACAGACAGAGACTCAGGCACCAATGCCCAGATCACCTACTCGCTGCTGCCAACCCAGGACTCACAACTGCACCTCGCCTCGCTGGTCTCCATCAACGCAGACAATGGGCAGCTGTTCGCGCTGAGGGCGCTGGACTTCGAGGCCCTGCAGGCATTCGAGTTCCGCGTGGGCGCCACAGACCAAGGTTCGCCC